AGGTTGCATTTTGATCAGACATCCCACAGTCCAGTAACAGAATAGTTATTATAAGAACCACCCCGTTATCTCCTGATGACATGATCAATTTCTTACACTGCATTTTCCTTTTTAAGTGGAGGAGAAGCAATTAGAAATTCCTTTAAGAAGCTGGAGAAAGGCAAAGGACCCTCTCTTCAGAAAAATGCACATATAAAATGTGACTTATAATTTTAAAAAGTACATAGGCCCACACAGCCTATTACAGACTATCGGCTAAGAACCTGACAAAGGGTACAAGTACACTGTGTCAAGCAATAACCCACACTCAAGATTTTCAAGGCAGCAGAGATTTTACTGCTTAGACCAGGCAATTAAAAAACTGAGAACTTCACTCAAATAAAGCCATATCTAATTATATATTTAATTAAATACCATAATAAGTTTAACATCTCACCAAATCAACAAATGCATGAAAAGATTTATGTAATGTTCTCCTGAGCAAAGCAGCTATATAAAATACTGTATTTTGAATGTCATGAAAGTATGAAGAAATTAGTTAAAACAGAAAGGCATGGAACACCAATGTAATTAAATTTTCCCAGTTAAAGAATCGGAGTGTGACAGTAAGCACATACCAGACTGTATCATAATACACAGCCTACCCAAATGTGTTTTATCATTCAAAAAAGAAAAAAAAAAAATCAAGCCAGGCATGGTGGATGCACACCTGTAATCCCAGCTACTCAGGAGGCCGAGGCAAGAGGATTACCTGAACCCAGGAGTCTGACATTGCAGTGAGCTATGATCATGCCCTTTGCACTCCAGCCTGGGTGACAGAGCAAGACCCTGTCTCTTTGGGAGGAAAAAAAGAAAACAGAAAACATAGTCTATATTGGGTATATTTCTGTCTTAGCCTTTTTGGGCTACTATAACAAACTATCATAGCATAGGTAATTTATAAATACAAATTTGTCTCTCATAGCTCTGGAGGCTGGAAGTACAAAATCAAAACGCTAGTAAATTTCATGTCTGATGAAGGCTTGCTCTCTGCTTCAATGAGAGTGCCGTGCTGCCATACCCTAAAGCGGTGGAAGGGGCAGGTGCTCCCTTCAACCTCTTTTATAAGGTCATTAATCCCATTCATGAAGGCAGGGCCTTCAGGACTTAATCACCCCCTAAAAGCCCCACCTCTTAACGGTATCACTGGCAATTAACTTTCAACATATGAATTTCAGGGGGACACATTCAGGCCTCAGCAATATGTTAACCAAACTCATTTAAAAAGAAAGCATATCCCATTGAATGCAATAGAAAGTTACATATTATTTACAGACTGAATTGTCCTCTTAGATGGTGAATCAAATATAATAGAAGAATACTACGGCGAATCATTTTATATAAATAATGACTGTTAACAAGTCAAATTGTGTCCCCTGTCAAAATTTATATGTTTAAGTCCCAACCCCTGGTACCTCAGAATGCGACCTTATTTGGAAATAAGTAATTATTCTTGTAATGCCCCTGAGATAAGGACATACTGGAGGCAGGTGGGCCCCTAATCCAATATGCCTGGTATCCTTGTAAAATGGGGAAATTTGAACACAGATACACACACAGGGAGAATGCCATCGGAACATGAAGGCAGAGATCAGGTGACCCCTCTATAAGCCAAGGAAGACCAACAAAGCACAGAAGCCAGGACAGTGGCCTGGAATAGCTCCGGCCTAGTGCAGGGGAACATGCTGATCTCAGATTTTCAGCATCCTTGTCTCAAGAAGTGTGAGACAATACTTGTGTGTTGTTGAAGCCAGTCGGTTCGTGGTACTTTGTTACAGCAGCTCTAGCAAACTAAACCAATGACATAACACATTTTACTCTCTAACAGACTTTCACATGTTACCATAAAGCAAAACATGTCCACAATCAAATGCATTATAGAGTGAAATTTTAAAAGCCATACATTTTGTAAGAGCATCACATTCCTTGGAACCAAAGTTATTTTTACCTAAGTTGCTGTCAGTTAAAGTGAAAAAAAAAAAAAAACTGACATTACTTTTGTAAAATAAAATCTCAATATGAATAAAATTTACTAAATGTAGAGTAATTCATGCTCATTTGCCCTATTTTACAGTAAAAAAAAAAGAATACCTTGTTTATTCTGATTGCATGGTAAATACACCATTGTGAGCAATAAAATAATAAAGTACATTAAAATAAATGATCAATGTTTGCTATTTTAATATACTTACATAGTGAAAATATTTTCTCCTATAATAAATTTTATTTGGCAAAACCATTTTTTTCACCTCCAAATAGTAAAGATATTGAAAATAACTGTCAGCAAGAAGGTAGAAATACTCAGTTCTAATATGAGAACAGTTCTGACACACATAATCAAACATTCCCAATCAGTGGTGCAAACACTAAAGGTATACTGCTTTTATTAACACAAATGTCACTCCTCCTTAACATAAGCAAAAAAGCTCAATTCCATAGAAAGAAGAGAAATGTTTTCCTGAAAAGCAGCCTTCTACTTATAAACATAGGCTGTATAATCTAGCATGTCAGTTCTCCAAAAGAAGTAATACTAGGTCTAAAACCTTCCTCTGCAGATAACGTAATGGACCTGTACGGGGGAAATGGCTGCAAAAGTAGGACATGACTATTTCCCTAATTCTCTGTCACATGCAAACGTTAACACCAGCTTTACATGCCCTCCAAATACACATAGGTGCACAGGAGAGTAATCTTTGGCTTTGGCTTTCTAAGACTGTGCTACAGTAAGTTATGGATAAGAGAATATGTGTTGCTTTGCCTTTAAAATAAAAGGTTTTTCAGTTTAAGAAAAAAATGATGAATTGATTCTTCACCTGGATTCAGTGTGATACATAGTGATCTTATCTCATCACAAGCAGACCTTCTCCAACCATTTAAGATGTTCTTTCCTGACATAATTCAGATTTTTAATTTCAAACTTAAGAGCTACATACAACTTCAGGATTTAGCTGATTATTCTGCAAATGAGCAAAGCTAAAAAAAAGTCTAGCTTGGATAATTCCCTCTGTCTCATTACTACTAGTATAAGGGACAGTATCTTATGTTAATAAAATTATCTTCAATGTTAGTAGCGATCATCTATATAACACATTTTATGTGTGTTCTACAAACTCATTTATCCTCACATCAACCCTAAGAAATAGGTATTATATTCATTTTGGCAAGGACAGATTCAGAAGTTAAATCACTCACTCAAGGTCAGAGACAGCAGAGGTGGGATTCAAACCTTAGCCCTTCCCACTCCAAAGCCAAGGCTCACTAATTGCCTTATTAGGGCACCATGCTTTGCAAGGGAAATCTTCAATATCAAAACGGAAGAGAGATGTTGTGTTGGGAAACGCAGTGCTGAGGTCTGCTTTCGAGAAGTGACCAGTACCCCAAATTAAAAAAAAAAAAAAATGTTAGTAACACCGAAGAAGTCCTGCCAAAGAATTCCTGGGCAGCACACACACTGATTCTTTAAACCTGAAGGAACTTGAAATATAAAGTTAGTAGAGGCCTTCCAAATTCCACCAACAAACAATGCACTTGTATTTACAAACATTTCTGGCAGAGAGGTCACAGAAAGCTCCAATTAGAAAAGCAAAATAATTACATTAAGGGACGTTTATAGCCAAAATAGTCTTACTTTTCTTGATTTCCTAAACTGACATACATAACTAATTTTATCAAGTCAAGTCTATGGTGATAGAGATGACGCACAGGCACATACACACACACACACACACACACAGCCCCCACACACGAGATGAATGTCACGCTGCATCTGTCCCCCTAGCTTAACGAAGATTCTGTAAAAGTACAGCCCTCATCTTTTCTGGATGTGGTTTATAATAGAGCTGTTATTGTGGTAGCCTGGGAAAAACCTCAGTACTTCCAAGAAATTATGAGAAAGCTCACCGTTCATTAATGCAAAGCTATGAAAAAATACTTAAGGCTCAATTATGCAAAATGTTTAAAGGTGAGCCAATAAAATCCTTAAAGCTCCCTTAAACTTGAACCTGTTTAAGAATTTAAAAAAAAAATAGTAATCACACACATTATATAAGAAATAGGTCACAGCACAAGTATTCATTTATTTTTCGCTATGTAAAATTCTTCAGCTGAGCCCAATGAGATTTAAATTATTAGCACCTGACTTAATCAGTTTTATTATAATCACTGCTCATTAACCCCATAAAGAAAAACGGGGCACATGCAAGATGTAAAAGGCTCACTAAAAATAACACTTTAAAATACATGATGATTTTAAGTCTTCAACACTGTGGTTATGCCAAGGCAGCAAAACCCATGGGGAATCTTTAAAGACACGCAGACTGCTGGTCAAGCCATGGCCTCGGAGGAGTTTCGCGACCTCAAAGGAGTTCTCCCGGGAAAAGTTAAGGCCCGCGCTTCCCCGAGGAAGCCCCCACTCTGCCACCCCTCCGGAGCCGGAGGACGCGGGGAAGGAGAGATTCCGACCACGGTGGGGGTTGTGCGGGGCGGGGGAAGAGCGCAGAGCGCGGGCATCTCCGCAGCCACCCCCAGTGCGGGACGCCGCTCGTGCCAGCACATCCCGGGACAGCCCGGCGCACCGGCACCGCAAGGTCACCCGGGAAGCGGCGACTTTACATAATCTCCCGCCGCGCCGCCCGGGCACCTGCGCGCCGCGGCGGCAGCGCAGCCACGGTCCCTTCCCGCAGCGCCGGCGCGAGGCGGTGCGGGGGCGGCGAACCCGGAGCCCCGGAGGGACGCCCAGGACCCGCGGGCGCCCGCAACGCCGCACCGAGCCCGGGGCGGGGGACGGAGGGCGGGCACCCGGCGCGCAGGGATGCCCGGAGCCGCGGCCGAGGCGGGGCGCGGTCGGCGCGGGCGAGGCGCCGGGCCGGGGTCCCCAAGCTCCCGCCGGGCGGCAAACGCCGAGCGACCCCCTCGCAGCTCCGCCTGGGACCGCTCCGCGACACACCTGTCACGCGCCTTACCTGAGTGGCTTTGTGGAATTGCTTCTTGAGCCCGGCCACCGACATGGTGCAGGCGGACGCGCGGGCGCTGCGAGAGCAGAGAGGACGCGGCGGCGGGCCGGACAGGGAGCCGAGGGGGCGGCGCGCTCGCCGGGCCGCCACTCGTCGTGCCGCCGCCGGGGCTGTGAGCGCGGGGGCGCGGGGCCGAGCGGGACGCGGGCTGGTGCGGAGAGACACCCTGACGTCAGGGGCGGGTGATGCGGCCTCTTAAAGGGGACGCGGGAAGCCCCGCCCCGAGCGCGGGGCTGGCGGGGCAGGTGCGGCGGCGCGCTGTGCCTGCGCGCCGGGGCCCGCTGAGGGACGGGGCTCCTTGGCACCTGCGGGCGGCTCCCTGGCCAGCGGGCCAAGGGCGTCCAGGAGGTGTCTGTCGTTCGTGACCCCGCGGGCTGCGGACGGGTCGCTGCAGCTGGGCTGTGCAGGCACAGTCACGACTCAGGTGACACGCAGGAATTCCAGGTAGCCAAGGCGGCTCTGCCTGCAAACGGCCCTCCTGCCCTTTGAGCTTTGCTTCGTGCAGCCTGAAAAGGAGGAGTGGCGTTCTGTCTGGGGTAATGAATAAATCATTGCTCCTTCCATGCCTTGCCCGTGTGGTTGGTCACAGAAAACATTTCTCCGCCCTGGTTTCAATATCCCTTACGCCTATATTACATTATGGAGAGCCACCAATGCTACCACCACCACCACCACCACCCCACCACCACCCCAGGTCTGATAAAATTTAACGACTGAAAAAGAAAAAGAACCTTTAAACCTGGACAGGTAAATAGAATTGAATTGCGGTGTTACTACAGTAATGCCACTTAATCCTCTGTTTACAAAAATGAAAAGATCCAAATGTGAACTTGGCGTTCGTGAAATTATGTTAGTGGATTTAGGGTTTCCAATCTAAAATAATCATGTGAAAAAGCATGATACTAAGCTGTACAAATACTACATATGTAACCAAATATATATGGCTGGCTAAAGTGAAACTGACAGAATTAGGTGAGCTGGGAGCGCAGCAGCACTAGATGTCTTCCGTGCTGTGATAATCAGCCACTTCCTCTGGTTTTTCTAGGACTGAGTTCTAGGGAAAGAACTTGAACGCTGTCGCCATACAGGGGCCAAAGCAATAAGGAGGAGAAACCAGATTTAAAGAAGCCAAGATGGGGGAAATTGCCAAAGATGAGTAAAGAGACATCATGGCAGAATGGGAGTTTCTAGAAATACCTCTCCTGTTTCCACAGCCCCTGGTGCCTGGTGGGAACCACAAAGCTACCCCCACCCTCCTAGCCACAGTTGCTGGGGCACAGAATGAACATCTAATACAAGGGGGTCCTATCCATTGGCAGGGCTACCAGTCATAGAGCCTCTTGATCATGTGAACGGACACTCGTAAAGGCAGAGCCAAGCAGTAGTGGACGCTGGAGCGGCAGAGCACAGGACACCGAACCCAGGCTGCAGAGAGAAGCAGAGGACAGGAGCAAACCTCCAGTGTGGTAGTCCTTACTGCTGTTCAGATACCTTCCCCAACATAGTAGAATTGCACTTTGCAAACTCCTTGTGGTTAAGTGGAGGCACTGTGACAAGTTTTGGAGAGTGGATTAGGAGGGAAAGGTGATTGTTACTTCTGCACAGAATTTTACTGTGGGTATGAGATGCTACAGAGCTCTCTTTTCCTTCTGCAATAATATTCTAGACAGCTGTGGTCTGTCAGCCAAGATCCAGAGTGTGGACAGAGCAGGGCAAAGTCCCCAGCTGATGTTCATGGGCATTTAGCACACATGAGAAATAAACCCAGGTAATTTTAAACCTCTGAGATTGGAGTTGTTAGGAGTGAGCTCATTTCTCTGTTTTTCCAATTTTTAAAAGGCTTTCACATACTTGTACAATAGAAAAAAGTATTTTATAGTTTAATTTTTACTACCTGGTCCCTGATCTGAACAATGGAACATTTTTATAGAACAAGGGGTCTTGGTTGAAGCTGCCAAGAGATACAGCAATTAATCTACAAAGTGGAAGGGCCTGGGATGTGTGAGCCCTGATCTCTAACCATGAAAGGTGTGAAATGGGGGCCTGAAGAGTCTCCCCAGGACCTGACTGAGCCATAAATTAAACAAAAGCAAGTCTCTATCCTTCCCTGGTTCTTCATCCACCAACTTTGAAGGCTTATGCTGCTAAACTTCAAAGGAACTACCTTAGGAGAAAGCTGCATAAGGTCTTTAAATTCTTTTGAAACCACAGCTCTCTCTCCCAGGGACCCCCCCCCCAGCTCATCTAAATCCATATTTCTATTGAAGCCACAATGTATGCCCGTAAAGCCCTTTGAGATGCTAACTTTGAAGAGATCTGTTGAATTCCCCCTGCCAGCAGGCATCATGGTAGGAAGTGTTGGGGGTGGTAGTGGGAGGTTGCAAGATGTGTATGGGCTGGACCTTGAACTCCAAGGAGTTTTCAGGCCAGTAATTCACAAAACTCTTCTTATGGACATTTGTTGTGACTTGAATGCACCAGACATTGAAAGATTCCAAAGATGTGTGCCATCTTTGGCTGCAAATCATCTGCCACAGAGGCTCTGTGGAGAAATCCAGAAGCACAATGCAAGAAAAGGGGAAGCAAAGGTCAATGAGGAAGAGCTTTGTTTGATGAAAGGTTGCTGTAATTCAACATGCTGCCCTATAGTCTCCTGAGATAAAATCAATGTAAAATGGTAAGTAAACCTAGATATGTTCAGGAAAGTCCCAATTAAATGAAACCCCCATACAGCACACCTCACTAATTGGGCAGTAAATTCATGGTCAGCGATAATTCCATCACATAATTCATGCACTATTTCTCCTTGCTTTATGCCAGAGCATCTGGCAAATACTAGACCTCTCGTTAGCACAGAGCTGCTGCATCCCTGGCACTTTTCTGAGGGCCCCCTAGTTCCATGGAGGCAGAGGAGAAGTAGCAGCCTTCATCTTTCAACCCTTCAGCCCCTGCTGCCACTCCTTTGGTACCTTCAAGGTCAAGCTGCTCCTGACTTCATGTATAAGCTGGCTGAGTGCAAGAGACACAGCAAAGCGAAGGCATTAAACCCTAACTTTTCATTTTGCAGATGAGAAAACAGCCAATGAAGGGAAGTGACTTACTTAGCATTACTTTTTCTACTCTAGCTTCTTGTCTCAATTCAAGGCAGAGCCTCCAGTCAGTGTTAATACATAACAGGTTTGAATGAATGAATAAAAGAATGAACACTACATCACTGTTACTGATACTGTGTTCTTACCACATTGGACCTGATGTTCAAAAGCCTTCACCAGATAGCAGTGTACTGAAACTCGGATTGTGCACGAGACAGACACCTGTTCTCAGGTAAATGGCACTTAAGATTTTGTGCCTTTGGATGCCACCAGTAGCACAGGGCCCCCACCCAAGATGGACAGGCCCTTTCCTAGATATGAAAAACCAAGGGAAAGACCACCTCTGTATCCTTGCTTCCAGGTTTGTCATATTCATTACTTACATCAAGTTTGAAACGTCTCCAACTTCCCCAGCAAAATCCTGCCACCTCCAATGCCCATCTCTAGTGCTGTCCTTTGAAGTCTTTCCCCATCCTTCTAACTTCACATCCTCCCCCCCACACACCTTTTTTGCTTGGAGCCTCAAAGCCCTGACTGTGCATCTCTACCATGCAATGTGTATTGTGCACATTCATATATAATCTTAGATTCTTCCATTTTTGAATACAGAATCTTATCTTTACTTTCATAACTCTTAGCAGATAATATAAATACCCACTAGTTAATTAGGGAGTAATTGAAATTTTAAAAGCTAAAATCTTTTCAGTCAAAAACACTGAAACTACCTGGACTTCTCTCCATCTGGGCATACTGTTCAATGGTTATGGTTGCTGTTCCCTGGATATGTCCAAGCCTGGGTCTCCAGGGTCCTGTCAATTCAGTTCTCAATGTCCTTATAAATTCCCCTGTGTTTCACTCAGGCAATACAATTCTGTTGCTTGCAATCAAAAATCTATAAGTGTTACTTATCCCGTCTCTTCCCTGAAATAATACTTTAATTTCAATTCTGTTTCTTGTTTGGCTAGCAACTCAAAATACAGAGATTTATAGGCAACTATTGTTCCTGCGAAGCACTTGCATTAGGCTTCCTTCTCAGAGGAGGGTGGACAGATTGAGTGACAAGGAATATGGTCTTTTAGCAAGTGTCAATTCTCCCTGTAAGACATTGACATCCTGATTTACAAATCAAACCTTTTGTTGATTTGATTAGTATGTGTCAGGCTGCCAGAGCCTGAACCTCCCAAGTCCCTGGGAATTGGCAGCTGAATGCTTGTAAATAAATGCCAAGCAAGTAGACTCCAAGTCCACAGTGCCTGCTCCTGGAATGACAATAATCTTAACTAAGGGCAAATTGTTAGGGCATCTTTACCATTGGCGTTTTATTCTATTCTTGGCTGGACATTATCATTAGAGATGCTGAAGGCATGTTGTTAACCCTGAACATAGGCTCTGGCTAGTCAGCATGTGAAAGCACTGTGTTGAAGAGGCCAAGTTCTGTAGCTATTTTAGTAGCTAGTTAGCTATGCAGAGAAAAGCTATTCCTTAGTCACACTAAACCCTGTCATCTCAAGGATGCATTCTCTTGATTACAGAAAAGTCCAGGTGTGAAAGGAGAGAGAATTTAGCTTAGCATAAACCTGTCATCAGTACTGACAACTCAGAGGACAATATTGCAATATTCTATCAGCATCAGCTGGATATATTAAAATAATAACAATAATACTAATATATTTATTCTACTTTACTATGTTTTTAAAAGATAAAATTACACTTTAAAAAGGGATGGAATGATAGATAATTCACAACTATTTAAATAGATCATTTATCTTTAATTGTTTGGGGCTTTTTAAATTTTCCTTTTAAAAATTTTTTTAGATTGGTTGTTTTATTAAATGTGCTCAGCTTGTGTTTTCTCTGGGCTGACTCCCATATAAAGCTGACTCCAGTGACAACAAATTAAAACTGAAAGCACCATTTAAACTGCATTTCAAACATATACATTAACATTAAAACTCCATCCTCTCAGGAATACCAATTTTCTCCAAGGTTCAGTTACAAGGAGTTTGCCAAGTAGGAAATTCCTTAGATCAAAGATCTAGAAAATACTTTTAGTTCCCCATGAATACAGTTAAGT